GGCATTACCGCTTTCTAACCCATAAAAGCACCCGTAGACGCGTGGATAGTCGTCGCTGCCTACGCGTAGCCAAAGGCCGGACAAGTTGGAAGCTTCGAAACTACTGAGGCGTCGAGTACAGATGTCCTCTCTGACGTATATGAAAACTCTAGCCCGAGGCATAAAAGAGTGTTTCAATTTGTACCCCAGGTAGGAGAGATACGAAGTATCAGCCGGATAGGACACCTGCATCTCGGTCAGAAAGCCAGCCAGCTTCGCCGTCTCGAGATGGTCAAGACGGCGTTTATGTTCGAGTGAAGTTCCCAGATATTGCAGAAATTCACGAATAGCATGACAGGGGTCGCCTAGGTTCTGTTGCATAGCTTACCCCGACTAGATATTGAGCCGACAATAATGGCATTAGCAACACCCGTATTTCATAAAAAAATAGGTTATATTGACCGGTTGAAGCTGATTCCGCGTTGATAGATGTGGCTATTTAATTAAGTCACACAATTATGTAAATGAAGTATGAGCACGCTAACAATAATGACCGTGTGCAGCCCTTCTGAAAGTGCTGCCAGAAAAGAACCAAATTGTACCTTGTACCGCATTTTCAGTCAATAAGAGAGCTATACAGATCCTATTACTGTCAGTTTGCAGGTATACGTTCGAAGACATTCCATGACAAAAATTTATCTTTATACACATTAAAGAAGGACAAGTGCGATACTTGCTATACGTGTGAAACCGGGAACTTAAACAAAGAGGATTACCAAGTAAATGTTATAAAAAAACCAAGCAAAAAAGAAAAAAAACAGATGACAAAGACAACGCCGACAAAAAGGAAGGTATAGTTCTCACAATGCATTTAGAGGCTATGAAATCATGTCCATTTCTGACTGCAAGTGCATTGTTTTTTAAAACAAACTTAGTGTGTCATAATTTTACGGTTAACTTAAGAAACCGTCACTGTGCTTGTTATTGGATTGACGAAACAGCAGCGGATTTGAAATCCAGTACATTCGCTTCATGCTTAGTCGATTACCTAGAGAGACATTGTTTGCCTATAAAGCTACCGATAATTATCTTTTCCGATGGCTGCACCAATCACAATAGGAATACGGTTATGGCTAATGCATTACTTGACCTTAGTAAGAAACACGGAGTGGTTATTACTCAGAGATATCTGGAGCCAGGCCACATGCAGATGGAGCGCTAATATCATTTGCCTAGCGACTTTGCAACACTGATCAAGGAAATATGGAAGGGTCAGCTGTATGAAGTTGTTCAACTCAGAAATGATTTCGTCAAGGATTTTGCTAATCATAAGACTTGGCGTTATAAAAGCAACAGACCTTGCCGAAAAACAGGTGAACGACAAGTTGTGGACATCCATGCCATTCGATACAATCCTAACTCTACCATCCAAGTCAAGCTAGATTTTGACTCTGAATGGATGGATCTACCCCAGAAAAGCTTTACTATTCGTCAAACCGTTCACGCCAATATTCATGCGGCAACAATACTTATAAATTTATCGAAATATAACCAACCATCTTCAGCAGTTGAAATCAGTCCTGCCACGTAATTTTCATTCCTTCTATGCCAACCTGCCTCGTGAAGAATTAGATTAGATAATAATTAATATAATAAAAATTGCATTATACTTTTTAACAAAAAAAATGTTTCTTTATCTTAGTCGTATTTTCAATATTTTAACAGAAAGTTTACTAAGTAGTGAGCTTAAATAGTATTAAACTGTTACATTTAATTTACTTTTGTAAACGGAGAGACAGAAAAAGTTTATGCATATATTTATAGTCTTAAGAGTTATTAGTTATCATTAGAGTCATTAAAGAGTTATCAGAGTAGAATACATTTCAAACGGGTACTTACCTAAAGTTAGATCATAAAAAATGTGAAACTAAAATATTGGAGTTATTATACTATAGGTAGGGTAGGAGTTATGTCAAGCACTTCATAGTTGCAGTGATGAGGAGCTCAAGCTCCTCATCACTGCAACTCGCAAGTAGATTATGACTGGATTAGTTAGTAATAAAACTAAGTTATTGTTTCCCTTCTTTTTAAAGAAATTAGTTAGTAAGACATCCTAATAGTATATAATTTTATTAAATACTCACCTGTTACATTTTTATACTTGACTTACGTTTGTAAGCATTAGAACTGAAAAACTATTCATATTCTCATATTTCATAGGCGATAATAAGATCATGGGAATTCCTAAATGCTATATTGTACTTTCTTTGATATTTTTTATTTTTATGCCGATTTCTGAATTTAGAATATTGACCTATAGTTCATAAAAGATAGCTTGATCTCTGCGACAGCTGTCAGTAAAAATCACGCCAATGAAGTCCTGAATTTCTTAGTAATACACACAGTACCTCTCAATGTCGTACTTTATGGGCATGCCGACCCAATTAGTGCAAGCCCATAAAGTATGACATTGACAGGTACTGTATTACTAAGAAATTTATTCAGGACTTCATAGGCGTGATTTTTACTGACAGCTGTCGCAGAGATCAAGCTATCTTTTACGAACCATAAAGCATTCCATTTAGTTCTCGCTGATTTAGTTTTAGAAGTGGGAGTGTTCTAATTTAAGCCTTATCTTTGTCATTTTTTTTTGTAGGATGTTTTTATTAATAAATGTTACAGTAATTAAAGGATTATTATTTCAAACCCTATACGAGTACCTAAAAATTGCAATAAATAAATATTGATTTCTCATAATTATAACAGTGTTTCATTTTGAAAATACCTCCAATTAACCGATATGGTGACGATAATGGTGATATAGAAAGACAATCCTATCTTCTAATTCCTATCTTCAAAATAATCGCCTGTTTTGAATATTTGGTATATTTTTGGCAATTTTTAGATTTATTTGTTATATTATCACCGAATATGCTTGAAAACTTCACCGAAAAATAACAATTTATAAATAACCCGCTATTTTTTGGAAGTTTATAAATAATATTAAAAAACTCCTATCTTCAAATTTTCATTCACACCAGCTTAGTGATACCTCGTATCTTACATTATTTCGCTAAATACTGATTCCAAACAAATTTTGATTATTACCTTATAAGCGGGTCCATTTTAGTATACAATTGCCATTTACACATTTTTCCTTTAACTTCTAGGAAAAATAAAAAACGGTTTTTTTCTGCTCCTGTAAAATTTAGTTTTTGTAAATGATAGTCAACCAAATCTAAGAAATACCTTTTGACGTTTCACACTAATCATTCCACAATAATTTTTCACAAGCGTACCCACACGATTTAAAATAACCTTTTACGTAAATCCGAAGAATTATGAAGTTATCTATAATTCATTACAGCGTGTATAATTTTTTATCGTGTTTAGTTTAAATTCAAAGCTTTCAAACAGAGCAAAATATAAAAAAACCAGTATCAATAATTTTACTTGACGTCGTTTCAATGATATGTCGCTATGAACCTTACCGTAGTGTTTGAATGATTAAAATTCATTGTTATGCGAATAATCGGCAAAAATATTCAAATAATCGGTAAAAATATTCAAATAATCGAATCATTAATTTTTTTCATGTATTGTTTAATTAAATTTTTATTTTTAAAATTCCTATAGTTACATGAATCATGAATAAATCAAGTTTGCTTTACTTTGTCAACGTAAATTTATGTAGGCAAAAAAACTCTTATACAAGGCCGCGTTGAAAAAACCACTACGTAATTTCAATCTCCCCCATTTCGGGAGCTTACTGTGCGTAATTTCATGATTTTGTGTTTGTCTTCTTCTTTTGTGACTCGGCTTTAATTGTTCTAACTGTTTCTTCTATATTCGTTGAAGCATGTGCCCATGTCACAAAGGATGATTGGGCAAAATTGGTACAAAAACAAAAAAAAATTGATTATGGATGACTTTGGAAGATACATTAATATTAACTGCACTATTGAAAATCAAATAATAATTAATCTAAACTACGAAAGCTCTCCTAGTTGTACTGAAAGTTAATGAATGAATTTATTTTTAATCTAGTTTGAATCATAAATTTTATAACTAAATCTTGTGTTTTTAATTATCCGTTTTTAATTTAGTCTTGTATTATTCAAACCAAACTGTAAATGATTACCAACTCTAAATAACCGATATCGATTTTTTTAAGAATCGAATATTGTACGTTTCCATTTTTTGGTTGGCATGCTTGGTGCAATAAGTCTGACAACCGTCAAAATGTATTTCTTTGATTTGGTTTACTATAGGAGTTGTTAGCACTTCCCCGTCGGATTAGTAATGACATAGGCAAATACTTGGGAATATCATTAAATAACTGTTTAGAAGGACAACAGATAAGTAATTACTGCATGCGTGGAGCATCATTCAGTGATATTGTGATTAAATTTTTACTAGTAGATTTAGCCCTAATAGTATATTAACCCTTAATAAGGCAAAGGGATATAGTTTCCCACCAAGACTATTTTGAAAAACATGTTTATTTTACATGAAAGATAGCCCATAGAATGAACGCAACCGAAATATACTATTCTTTAGAAGATTTTAAATTTCATAACTTGCAACACTTTTCAAAAAATGACTACCTTATATTGAAATGTCAATGTCAAAGTTCAGTGACGTGAAAAGTGCTAAAATAACGGTCGATTTTTGGTTACTTCCGAGAAAAAAATCTTTTATTGTTCAACGAAAAATCTTGTAAGTAGATTATGTTTCCATCTTTTATAAAATGACAACTTTAGCTATGTTTTTTTATTGATTTTATACGTATAACATTGATAACAGCGTTAAAATCTTCGAAATACTAAGTGGGAAAATTATTCCCTTGGCCCGATTGAGTTTATAATTTATTTCTTATTATATATATGAAAGTTTGAACTCACAAATATGTCAATACAAAATACAAATAATAATAGAATGCTGAAATTTGAATGAAAGTAAGCTTCTTAGGGGATGTAGATGTGATATTTACATGTAATTATTTATTGGTAGGATTCACCATGAATAAAAAAACAAATTTAGGGAAACGGGAGTTAGAAGATATCATGAAAAACCTGTCAGATTTATCCGATCTTGACTCAGATGATGATGCCTATTACCAAACAGCCCCTGTAACCAGCCCGGCAGATTACCAGAATGAGTCTCAAGATGTTATTGTTGAAAGGCGTCTTGAAGAGTTGTTTGGTGTATCTGATAACTTGGAAGAAACTATTGAAAGCCAAGAAATATATTCAGTAGAAGCACTCACAGATATTTTAGAAATAAATAGTCCTAGACCTATTGGTAGTGTGGGTGAGACAACAGGACAATATGATGTTCTCCCAACAGAGGAAAATATTGCAACTTATGAAGAAAGCTTTGTTATGGATTGCAACCAACGAGAAACTGAAATAGAGCAATGCTTAGATGATATCCGTGAAGAACACTCCCACTATACTCCAATATCTACAGATGACTTAAGTGCAAGACCTTCAAGTAGTAATGTTATTGTAACAGAACCGGATCGTCGCTCAAGATCAAGCAGAACTATGAATACAGTAAGACAACCAAGGGAGTGGAAAATTGAAACAGAGATACACAATGTTCCTGAATTTACCAATTCAATTCAACCACAATCAACATATAGTCATAAAACGCGGCCTATCGATGTTTTTCAAAACTTTTTCCCAGAATATTTAGTACAAGTTCTAGTGGAACAAAGAAATAGATATGCGGTTCAGAATAAAAGCAATAATTTTACACCAGTATTATCAGAGGAAATGAAACTTTACCTTGGAATATTAATAATGATGGGGTTAAACCCATTGCCTGATATGGAGCTATATTGGTCTAATGACCCTTTGCATTATAATAATGCAGAAATTTCAAAAATTATGCCTATCAAAAGATATAAAAAAATAACTGAAAATTTACACATAAATGACAATGAAAAAGAACCAAATAGGAACTCACCGGAATACGATAAAATGTACAAGTTGAGACCAATGATTCAAGAGCTTAATAAATTGTTCCAGCAGGAAACAGGTAATTCAAGTAAACAATCAATAGATGAATGCATGTGAAGTTTAAAGCAAGATCATCTTTAAAGCAGTATATGCCAAAGAAGCCAATCAAGCGTGGCTTCAAAATCTGGGCACGTTGTGATTATGTAACCGGCTATCTGTACCAGTTCGAAATTTATACCGGGAAAGGAGACAGTATGGAAGACGAGGGACTGGGGTACAATGTGGTTAAAAAGCTGTCAGCCGGCCTTCCTGAGAACACTCTGATAGCGTTTGATAACTTTTCACTAGCTGTAACCTAATGGAAGATTTGTACGAAAATCAAATTTTTTCTGTTGGTACAGTTAGAGTAAATAGAAAAGATCTTCCGGAAATTTTTAAAAAGTCTCAACCAAAACATTTAAGACTTGAAAGGAACCAATTTGCAGCTGTAACTGCTAAACCAATTACAGCAATCAAGTGGCTTGATACAAGGGATGTTAATATTCTTACAACAGCTCACCATCCAACTGACACAGTATTTGTAAAGAGAACTCAGAAAGATGGTACTAAAAAAAAAGTTCTCATCCCCACAGCTATCGCTCAGTATACGCTCACCATGGGAGGCGTCGATCACTTTGATCATTTCAGATCATCATATCCGATCAATAGAAAATGCAGGAAATTTTGGATGAGATTGTTTTTCTTTATGTTTGATGCGGCAATCATAAACAGCTATATAACCTACAACACTGTGCATGTAGCAAGTACTCATTCTCATAGAAATTTTCGATTGCGATTGGCTCGTGAGCTGATATCAAATTACTCTAACAAGGTAAAACGCCAGGTTGTTTTCAAAAACAAAAAGGGCTCCAACTTTGGAGTTCCAGATGCGATACGTTTACTCAATGTCGGCGTCCATCTTCCAGATGAAGGAAATACTTACAAAAGATGCCGATTTTGTAGCACAAAAAAAGAGGAGAGAAGAACAAAAATAGTATGTTCCACGTGCCAAGTTGCACTATGTGCAAAGAAATGTTTTAAATTATTCCACGAGGCTTCACCCCAAGAATAATTATATTTTTAACACGCTTTTAGCTTACTTGTAATAGCTATATTAATTATTAGAATAAAAATGCGATTGCAATACCGCTTTTTATTTAGCATGCATGATAATATTCATAGGTAAATAAAATAAAAGTTCGTAACGCATAAAAAAAAAATTAAAAAATAAATGAAATGAAAAAAGCGAAACCAGGTGAAATACTAGTATATGAATAACAACAAAACTAGGCATAATTCCCTTTGCCTAAATAGGCGAAGGGAATTATTTTCCCACTTCGAGACACAGTGCACATACATAATCGGGCAAAGGGATATTATTTCCCACCCAAAAAAAGGGGGTAAAAAACCATCCCCCCTTTTTCAAAATACTTTTTTTAAATTCTGCAGTATCTATTTACACTATTTCCACTGTAACTTACTTTCTAGCTGTAACACAGGCGCGAGCCTTATTAAGGGTTAATATTTTTTGTCGGGAGAAGAGGCAATGTGTATAAGAATCAATTATTTAAATATATTGTAAATCTTAATAACTTAAATGTGCATAATGTTATCTTGTTTACAAAAACTTGCTTAACTTAGAGAGGTGGCCACAGGAAAATAAACTAAGATATAATTTACATTTAATAATGTATAATTTGACATGCATGTATATATGTAAATGTATTAATTTAAATTTGATATTTAATTGTATAATTTATAAGGATAAATTTTATTTGATTGATATTAATAATTTAACTAAGAAGTTTTTGGTAAGAGATAGGTATTACCTATCATTATATAGCTTAATACGGGTAGCAAATACTTATTATTTATATTATCCTTCAGACAAATTTTGGGCTACCTTGACACCTGCTTCTAATGAGCAGTAAAATAATTTTACAAATGATTTGGAATCAAACCCAAGTAATTTCCATTAGATAATAAGACAATAGAGGTAATCTCTATTAAAGATAATTTAAATACCTTAGAATATAACTCACCAATACTTAATTGTGTAATTTTACAAAATAGCAATAATAATAACTGTATTAACCTGATAGGTACATCAAATATGTAAGGTATGTTAGACAAAGAACTAGAAATTGAATTATTCTTAAATAGTAACCATATACATATTTTATGTATTATTGAACAATGGTTGAAAGATTATATGTAACTCCATATTTAATTTCAGTAATCACCAAGTGGTCAGTTTTTTCAATAGAGGTACTTATTTACGCGGTGGCTTCTTAGTATTAGCTATTAAATCCATATCATATTTATAACGAACGTAAAGATATTCTGAGCCTCTCTGTCGATCGAAATAGCATGTGTTGAACCTGAACACCTCATTGTTGTCAATGTTTACAGACCCCCATGTTCGAGGTAAGGGATAACTTTGAAAAAAATATGGAAGATGTTTTAGTTAAGCTTAATAAACAAAATAAATCTCTTGTAGTAGGCTGAGACCCTAATATCAATCTCCTGGAAGCTACTTCCATCAGTATTCATTTTTATAGGATTTTATAGGATTTTTTATACGTGGTAGAGCCATGTTGCAGTTATATTAGTAGTATAGTTGTAGTACGAATGGGTCGGCTCAACTGGGGAAGGACCACGCTCTCACACAATACCAGCGTGGAATAGTTACTTAATGCTGCTGTGTTTCGTATGGTGAGTGCAAAGGACCCGCGAGGCAGGTATATGTAGGAATTTCTTAGTGTAAAAAACAGTCGATAAAATGATGGTTATCAAATGGTTGTTTTTAAGTTACTCAATTGAAGAACTTGATGTACCGTGAACTGAAAAGCAAAAACAGTGCGAATGTTATTTGGTTTCGAGGCTATGCGTGCGTACTAGCGCGCTCTCGGAGGCTTTTATCGGCTATGATGAGCAAATTTAATAGAAATTTAAAAGTTCGTTACAAATTTATGTATAAGTAGATTGTTAAGAGCGTACTAAACAATTCAGATATAACCGTTTGTTGTCATGTCTTTCAATAAATCATAGATCCTTGTCTGCGAATTTGTAATAAACATAAGGGCAAGACATCAACGGCACCATTTAAAAGTTTTAAATAGATTTAGTTTAAAACGTTTAAGTTCTATTATTAAAACTAAAGTAATGGTTTTATTGTCTAGAAATAATACAAGCAAAATTAACACACTAAATTAATGTCTATAACAGCTATCAAAAATAAGTATTTTATTAAATACGAGTATATTACTGCTAGTTTCAGTAAATTGTAAATTATTTCTAATTACCTATGTTTCTGGTAATTAAAAATAATTAAAGTAAAAAGATTAAATATATACAATTAAAAAATCGTGTAGATGTTTCATTGAGTTTTTATTATTTTGAGCTAGGAATGAGGATATTTGCAGTTTGTGTGCTGGTGAGCTACGACCAGGAGGGTGTCCTCTACCCCTACCGCTGCAGCCGAGCTGGAGTCACGGTGGAAGAGGAGTGTCGATATGGCGATGCACCACTCGCCCTATCCTCCGCGACTCAAACGGACTGCACTGTTGATGCGGTGGTGGTGGGATTACGGGTGGAGACGAGTGTTGGCATTGCGAGGCGCCGCTCTCTCTACACTCCGCAGCCGAATCTTAGTTGGCGGCGGAGCAATAAACCAGATCCGTCGCTAAGGTGGTCAGGGAGGCAAGTGCATCTGAGTACTCGTTTTTCCTAGTCCCATGGCCTTCTCGCACGGGGTGTCCGTTGCGCAGGTGTAGTTGGAGGCCGTGGAGGAAGGCGCGCCATGTGTTCTGGTGCGCCTGGTCTCTTTTTTGCAGGCTTGCACATTGCTTACCAAAGTCACACTTTATTAAACCCCGCCAAAGTAGTACACAGTAGGATCGTAGAAGGAATAGTACGTGTATATGAATGCATAGAAAACCAAAAAATAAACAAACGAATTTTTATTTTTATGTGTTAGATTCAATATTTTATATAATATAATAATAAAATAAATTGTTAGAATATAAAGAAACAAAATAAAAAGAATGAAAGAATTTTTTCTTTGTATCTTCAGTAATAAAAGACAATATTATAATGATCCGAGTTTTTAATTAATATTAAAAGGAAAACAGAAAGAGCTATTTTTTATTTACTAAAGTTCAGTCAATAAGTGAACCGAAAACCAGCTTCGTTTATAGATCTAGGTAAGTTATTATAAATAACTATATTGTTCAACACGTAAAACATATATTGTAAATAAGTCTGTTTTCGTTTTTTTTTTAATTATTAATGGATACTTAATATATTATATAATTGGTTTAAAAAATTAGTGATGCTATAACAGTTTAATACATTCGCGTAATAATTAATTATCTTCATCATTAAGCATTTCTCTTAATCGTCGCCTTAATATTTTTCCTCTGGTGTTTCGAGGAATTTTGTCAATGAATCGAACACCGCCTCTTAGCTGCATAAGAGGAGATACCTGAAAAATAATTGATATGTTTAGAAATTGTGAAAAATCACCCCATATTTCTTTAACGCGACTCTGCAGCTGCATTTTTACTATAGTACGCACAGGTTGACTCGACCGGGGAAGACCCGAGCCCCCCCAGAATTCCAGCATGAAATAGATTATGAATGCTGCTGTGGCAAGGGTTGAGGGTGAATTATGAGAACCGGTGATTTTTTTAACTGATTGTGATATATATTAACTTCGTGGTGGACTGTGTGCTCGTTTTTACATTCATAAAAATCTGAGTTTTTGGGCCTGATTTTATTATGAATTTTTTTGTAATTGCATTTATGTTTCCACTATATGACTGTATACAAATCCAATAAGCTTGGAAGTCCATTAAGTCCAATGCCATGTCACCTCCTCTAACTATAGCTCTTGTGTTGACGCTCAATATTCATATCCAGTATTTGATAATTTTTGCAGTGGTCTTTGAACCGTAATATTTTACTGAGATGATGATTTTAAATGATTAAAAAATAAAATGTTTATCGTTGCAATCAGTTACTGTAATTACTACGAAATATATGAGATTGATACTTGCCTCGGAAGCCACATAATTAATCAAATCCATTTCGGTAATATTTGATGACTGTTGCTTCACTATAAAAGCAGCCGGCACTTCCCCATAATCAGGAATAGGTTTGCCTACAACTGCTGCGTCGCAAACATCTGGATGTGACATTAGTATTGTTTCTAATTCTAGTGGTGCAATCTAAAAATAACGAATTTTATTAGGTATTGGTTAGAATACAGGTTAGGTACTCTATATTTCACTATTACTTGTTTTAGCTTGTTACATTACAAAAATCTCTTTCTTCTTGCTGGTTATGGACCCCTCTTGTAACAATGAGGATTAACGATTGTAGGTCCTACCAGACTTCGCACATATAACGCGGCCGCTCGTCACCGGTCTGGATATTTTACGTCTGATGTAAAAGATATGGTTATTCCGCCATTTATCGAAAGCCCTATGATATTTCGTACTTTACACATAGTCATCTGTTACGACACCTTCAAAACGAAATTAGGAAATGGACTCTCTTACGTCGCTTCCACACGGGGAAAAAAAGAATCAAGAAATTTCTATTATAAGTTTGTCAGTAATCAATTAATTTCTTAAGTTGTTTTTTATTAAACAGTTATGAAATAATACAAATTAATATACCTATGAATATCTGTAGTTACCTTACATCCTTTGTAGTTAATAATTTCTTTTATTCTATCAATAATATAAAAGTATTCATCGTCATCGTAGTATCCTAAGTCACCAGTTTTTAGGAAACCCTCCTCATCCAGGTAACTTGAGGAATCAATACCAATGTATCCTTTCATTAATATAGGTCCTTTTACACAAATTTCACCAGGCTGGTTAGGTCCAAGTGTTTTTCTTGTTTCAAGATCTGCAATCTTAAAGAGATAATAATATGTGAGTTAATTGGAATGATATTATTATGTTAAAATAGACGTTTGCAATGATGCTATTCTTCCGACAATTTGAAAAGCTGCAGACGTAATAAGATTTACTTCTAACTATAGGCCTTTCTCCGTTTGGCGACGGTCGATGGGTTATATTATATTCACACGTAACTATTAATTTATATATTAGTAAAATTATGTTATGTTCTGTTTTAATAATATAATTAAGATTGTGGAATTTAATCAAACATTTATCAAATTAAAAGACAAAAGGTATTTTTAAACTATTTTTATAAATGTTGTACAATTTTAAGTGCATAAACAATATAGTATAGAAGACCGATTAGAGACTTATATTTAAGTGCCTTTGAAACATAATGAAATCAAACCCATCCAGGGCCCAATTTTGCGCCATATGCGAAGGACGTTCACAGGATGTGTGTACGACGTAAACAACATGATACATTGAACGAAATAAAAGCTTGTTGTAACCGACGCTAGTTGAACAACCTAGGGGCAGTGGGCGGAGCCATGAGGGTGTTATGATCGTCACGGTTCGACAACTAGCTATGATTATAGCTATGGTATAGCTATGGCACACAGCAACGCGGAAAAACTGGCGCAGCCTTATACATTATATTTATATTTATGTTAAAAAATATAACTTTATATTCGATGATAAAAAGAATAGTTGTAACTTTGCAATAACTCTCCCAATAAAGACGCTAAATGAATAGCGAGATTTAGCATAGATTTAAAATGTAAATTGTATTTGTTCTTATATCTAATTTACCTTTATTATATATTACCATTCTTGTATAGTAATTAAAATAAGATATTATAACATCAACAGGGCATGTTATCGTAACGCGACCGCGGAGAAAATGAGGCTACGCGCACCTCGCCACGACGTTTTATATTTATAGTGCTGGGGCGCGGGGCAGGGTGCTCAGCCTAAATTTGTTAAATATAAAGTTTAAACCTTTTTAATATGTAAAAAAATTGTTGTGTACGTAATAGTATAATAAGTAGTTATAAGAATATTACACATTTAATTCTGTTCGTTAGTTTGTAAGAGCTATAACCAAATAAAGAAAGGCGCGGGGGTGAGGCAAGGGTCCGCTGGCCAGCAGTGGCCAAATCATATAAAAGACGGGCCGGCCGGAATGGTCGGCAGTCGCTCTCCAGTCACTAAAAGGTAACAGCAAGAAAAAGTACAAGTTCCTCCTCACCGCCGCTTGCCTCCTATTTAAGCAAGACCAACGTATTTTATTCATTTTTCGAACGGCGTTACGGCGATCCGTAACATTAATGGTCCTTCGAGAAGCCGGATTATCAGAAGAAAAAGGCAATATCGGTCTTGGTATTGCCGTAAGAAAGAAGCAAACCGCATGAACGAACAAATATTATTTTGAAGAAAAATGGTGGTTACGCGTAGTAACAACGGAGAATCATCGAAGCGTCACAAGGATAACCTAGGGGGCCACGGAAAGGCCTCCGGGGGCGACTCAGCCGCTATTGGTTCATCAAACACTACTTGCGAAACCACAACGGTTAGCGATACAACCGCTACCTCTGCGACCGATAAAACGACCGCAACGGAAGAAACCCAGCAAGGGAGTGATCAAAGATCGCAGTGCACATTAAAGCCCGACGAGACTAGGTCGTGCCGCTCCGTAGTCTCACGCAAGAGATTCCTCTCGGAGTTAGAGGCGAAAGAGCGGTTAGCCGAACTCAAGCTCGAGCAGGCCCAGATGCAAGCAAGAACGGAATTGCAAGAAATACACGTGCAACGACTACAAGCAGAAGTCGGATCAACCAATAACGAAGATGATATAGATGATGAGCATAGATATGATATAGCACTTTGCATCGCAACCCGCTCCGCAGTTCGCCCCGCAACCCGCTACGCAGTTTGCAACACAACCCGCGCCACAGCCGGCGCCGCAACCCACGTCGTACTTCGCGTCGCAACCAGCACCGCAGATCGCACCACGCGTACTTCAACAGTATAAGCCGCAATACGCTCCGCAACATACCGCACCGCAGAAAAAAGACTATGGACAGGCGCAGCAACAAATAGACGTCACTACCTTAGCCGCTGCTCTATCACAAGCAGTAAGAAGCACAAGGGAGCCGCCGAAATATTTGCAAGAGCTGCCCACATTCAATGGTAGCAGCAAAGAATGGCTCAGCTTCAAAACAACGTAAGAAGAATCTTCAAAGTACTTCACGATGAACGAAAACATAGCGAGAATACGCCGAAGCTTAAAAGGGACAGCAAAAGAAGCCGCAGGTTGCCTACTTATAAGCCAACCAGATCCCAGAATGATAATAGAAGCTTTAGAAAGGATATTCGGATGACCAGAAGCGTTTATTCACTTAGAATTAGAGAAGCTGATGCTGCTGAACAAAGTTACGGACAATCCCAGGGAGCTATGCATATTCGCAAATCGCATAGCAAATATAGTGGGCACCGTGGAAGCACTCAAGAAAGCACACTATCGGCATAGTCCGTAAATGATGCGAGTCACAACAACTCACGCCCATATTGAGAAGCAATGGTACGACTATGCAGCCAGAAAGAAAGAATATATCCCAGAGCTTAAGAAGATATCAATCTTCTTAAACGAAGAAGCGGATAAATGCAGCGCGTATGCCTTGCCGGAGTTCATCGCGAAGGCCGAGAAAATTAGAACGTGCCTTCGCCACAAGCAAGAAACAATATGAAGAACGCTGCCCTCAATGCAAACAAGAACACAAACTGCCCGATTGCAAGTCATGCGCCTCTCTGTCCACAAATGACAGATGGGAAGTAGCGAAGAAGTATAATATCTGCTACTGCTGTCTGCGAGGCAAACATCGCCGATTGCTGTGTATAGCTCCAACGTGCGGAAAAGGCGGATGAATGATGAAACACCATAAATTGCTGCATCACGACAGAACAGCAGAAATTGAAAAAGAACCCGCTATGGAAACCGCAACATCGGCACCTTACGTCGATGCCTCGATCGCACGTCGTCATCGGCCCAGCCCACGCAATATGGATACAAGGGGTTGGCTCGGAGGTGAAACATGAGAAGAGCAAGATCGTCAGCCTTTAAATAAGAGGAAAGTACGCGCAAGAGGAACACAAAATAGAAGCAGCGCGTACGGTAGAGCGGTTGGACTTCGCGCCAGAATCCGTGAATGAAAATCACTTGGAGAATTGCCAACATCTGTTGGATATCAAAGAGGATATCACCTACGAACGCGCCTCACCGAAAATACTAATCCGGCAAGATAACTGGCACCTCATAGTGTCTAGAAAACAGCGCGTCGGTCGTCGAGACCAACCAGTCGCCTCATACACCAACCTGGGCTGGGTTCTGTTATAGCTCATTGACGTCGACGGTCACCTTCTGCGGCAGACTACATCAGAGGGAAGAGGCACAGCCGATAGAAGAAGAAATAAAAAATTATTTCAAATTAGAATCGCTGTGCATCGAGCCAAGAAGACCGAAAGAAGATCCCGAGCAGCGAGCTATGCAAATATTGAAGGAAACCAGCCAGAGGTCGACGGACGGCAAATTCGAGACAGGGTTGCTGTGGAAATAAAAGGATTTCCAAATACCAAATAATTACAAAGATGCGGAAAGGCGTCTGCACACCTTAGAGAAGAGGCTCGACCGAGACAGCAATCTCAAGCTACAGTACGAAGAACGCATACAGAACCTATTCAACTTGGGTTACGCAAAGCGCGCGCCCATGCCACCGCCACAGGGAAGGACATGGAATTTGCCACACTTCCCAGTCATCAACCCTGCGAATCCAAACAAGCCGCCGAGATTGGTGCACGACGCCGCAGCGAAGACAGCCGGAATATGTCTCAATGATATGCTTCACTCGGGGCTCGACTTATTACAATCATTGCCTGGAGTAATCATGAGATTCCGACAGTATCCGTATGTAGTGAGCGCCGACATAAAAGAAATGTTCATGCAGATCAAAGTGCGCAAAGAAGATAGAGACGTTTTACGTTTCTTGTGGAGAGGCAAGCGGCGGGAGGACCAACCGGAAGAATATAGGATGAAATCGATGATCATCTTTGGGACGACATCATCACCATGCACAGCATTATACATCAAAAATAAAAATGCTGAAGAACATGCGGAGGCATACCCAGAAGCTGCGGTCGCCATAAAAAGAAATCACTATATGGACGACTACTTGCAGAGCTTCCACTCTATCACGGAAGCTCAGCAAACGGTAAAAACAGTCGATCTCGTCCACAAACAAGCGGGATTCGTACTCAGCGGGTGGACATCAAACGAAGAGAAAACAATAGAAGAAATAACGACAGAGCATAAACAACACGACGCGACCGTGTGCCTGGGCGGAAAAGAAACTGAGAAGACGCTCGGACCGCTCTGGCATGTACAAAGCGATCATATTGGATTTAATACTCACAATATGAAAATGCCTGTCGACGTAAAAGAAAAACAACGCTTGCCAACTAAACGTGAAGCGCTGAGCATCATAATGGCATTATTTGACCCGCTGGGGTTAATATCACCAGTGACTACCCCAGCGAAGAGAATATTCCAAGACACATGGCGTTACAAGGCGGACTGGGACGATCCTCTGCCAACAGTGTTAAAAGAAAAATGGGAAGACTGGATTACTTCACTTAATGCCATAGAACAACTGAGAATACCGCGATACTACGATTACAACCCGGTGTCGACGCGCCAACTACACACATTCGTCGACGCAAGCGAGGAGGCCTACGCAGCAGCCGTGTATTGGAGAACGGAGCGAGCAGACGGCAGCGTTAACATATCATTCGCCGCCGCCAAGAGCCGCGTAACATCACTGAAACCAGTCTCCACACCACGGCTCGAGTTACAAGCGACACTGCTGGGAGCTCGTCTTGCGCAGACCGTGATTGATGAGCACGATGACGATATAGCGGGCAAGACATACTGGTGCAACTCTCGTACTGCACTAGT